GGGCTTGCTCGCGTTGTTGTTCATAAGGTGAGCGTTGCTCCCAGAGTATAAACCCTGGAAGTTGCTGGACGCTGCGGGGAGAGAGGAGTTTGGGTTGGCAAAGAGGCTTGCCATCCCGCCCCCTGCGGATGTGAAAAGGCCCGCGCCTGTCAGCGAAGGGCCTGTGGGATAAGGATGAATTGGTGCAAGTTTCACAATAAATGATCAAAAAGGCTCATCGCATGTTTTGAAGTTTGTTGCATCGGCATTCAAGATGGACGAAGCAGGCCGTGGCAACTCCCTCCCTTTCTTCCGCCATGCATTTTCTCTGCGCGTCGAAAGCTCTTCGACGAGATTTATGGTACTAGTGCATCCCTTCATTCTCGATATGCAAACATTTCATACTCACGTTGATACACAGGGGGTGCCCCCACGGGCATGTCCCGCGGGCGCGAGTGCAGAGGAGGGGGAGGCTGCTGCTGTTGTTGATAGGGCCTTGGGCTGTTGGTACCGCTAGCACCCGGACCGCTGCTCATATTCCCACTGAAGAGGCCGCTGCCACCCGTTGCTTTATTTTGACGATCCATGGCACCAAAGTCCGTGGGAATGGCCCGCCAAGCGTGGAGAAGACGGAAGGCAGAAAGAGTGAAGGCGCGGGGGGCCGAAGCAGGTGTGGGCTATGATGAACCCGGGGCCTTCTACGCACCCGACGCTCGTAATCACGTCCACAGCAATAGGGCCGGCGACACCTATGAACCATTGCGCGGTGAAAACATGTGAGAAGAAGTATGGACCAGCTACGTGGCGGGTGTCATGTCGTGTATACTTCCTACGACTCAGGTCAAGCGCACTTGATGCTCCCCCCACCCCCCCGGAGTCCGAGTCGGCGAAGGGCAGCGCCCACGGAAAACCAAAACCCAAACACTCAAAATACCAAAAAAAAGACAAACCCAGACCGACGTGACGCAACGCGCGGGACTCGGAAAAGTTCTCACGCGATGGTTGAATACGGTGGGTTTCTCCGTCCTTTCCCTCCCGTTGTAAATTCTTTCTTTTCGTTTATATCAGGGCTTCGAGGGTGTCATTTTTATTTCACGTGTTAAAATTCTGCTGTGGGCTTATTTTGATATTTTGAGGGGTAAATCTCCGGAGGACAAGTGCTCTGGGTGGCTTGCCTGCGTAATTCATTTTTTAAAACGTGAAAAAGAGAAGGAATCCATCATGTCCCTGAATTAACTTATCTTTACAATTTATGCAATTTTTCAGGTCAGGGCTAAATTTCTGTTCTGTTCGGCGCAGGCATTATTGGGTTCCAAGCAGATGCCACCCAAATCCCAAAAACATGCAGGGAAAAATAAAAGACGTAAAGGGTCAAAAAAGCATTTAGCAGCAGCCACAACAAGCTCTGAAAAGGCTCCAATTTCGCCATCGCAAGTTCAGATTGTCCCCCCTCGTCCAACCATGTCCCCTGAATTTAATGTGCCCATTCTATTACTTAAGATGAACCTCCTCCAGGTCCCTACCAGCATATCGCCCTCTTTCGACCTTTGCCTTCCTGCTGACGCCACATTGGCCAACCTGTCTTCTGCATTAACCATGCGGCATGGTCCCATGAAAGACCTGACAGTATACGTTTCCCGGTATCCTCCTCGCACGCTTGACCTGCACAGTGCCTCCAACACGACACTAGCCAATTGTGAGCTACTCATGGCTAATGCTGTCTCGATGCCAGCGAAAGCCAGAGCGTCTATAAGGACTGCATCTTTCAGTGCACAGTCAGCGTCCAAGACAGCAGCACTAGGTCCTACGGCTCACACGAGGGCGAAGGACGAAGCGATGATGGTGATATTCTTGTACTACGATTTCACTCCTGCCGTAAAGGATCCTTTGCTTGACTATTTACCTTCAGGCTGCTAGCCTCCCGCCGGGAAGTACGATCGAAGAGTGTGCGATGACCGATGACGGGGGCATGATAAATGGCATATGCGAAAAAATGGCGGAGAGGAATAAGGAGCAAAAACGCCGTACGGGGTGCCGAGGAAGAAGGAAAAGAAATGTGTGCGTGTAGACTTGGAGGGGTGACTGCAAAGTCTTTGAATGCATTGTGGAGCGTCGTCGACTTACGTGCATGCTTCCAGATTCCTACATAAACGAAGTGTGACAACGAGAATGCACATGCAAAACTAAGGAGCATAGAAACCACAAGAAAGTCAGACACCCTTATGCAGGAGATGTGAGCTTTCATATTTTCTTTTTGGCTGGACAACTGCCTCATATATCGACGCAGTAGTGATATATTTTCTTGTACCGACGCAGTAGTGATATATTTTCTTGTACCGACGCAGAAGTGACATATTTTCTTGCACCGACGCAGTAGTGATATATTTTCTTGTACCGACGCAGTAGTGATATATTTTCTTGCACCGACGCAGTAGTGATATATTTTCTTGCACCGACGCAGTAGTGATATATTTTCTTGTATCTACGCAGTAGTGATATATTTTTCAAGAGGAAGTCTACACAGGAACCAAAAAGGCACCTCGGCTGCAATAAATACCGGTTATTTTTCTCACGCCAGCTACTTGCTGGACTTTTCCACTCCTTTCCCTCATTAAAAAGCTGAAGCGACGCCGTGCATGCAATGTGGCAGAAAGGAACGACTCCCTCTTTCGTCTGCGCGGTTGCAATGTTGCCTGCTTGAGCGCTTCTGCTATCCACCCTCTGAAGATAGCGGTAGCAGTCGACGTTCTGAATTCCTCGCGCCCGTGTACATCTCTCGCAAAGTGTCCGATATCACCTTGACTTCGTACCATGGATCAGATGCTTTACGAGACAATAAGGCGCTTGGTAAATAATGCCGCAATTCGCTTGCGCCTGGACATTTCCCAACTTCAAGGCTTCCCAGGACCGTCACGTGACTGTCCGGGAGACGTTGCACGCGATATCGGGATGGACTCGAAACATTACACTACCTTCAGCATGCTTGGGATATTGCCCGACAGTCATCGTCAAAGGCAGCTATGCAAAGTCCAAAGGTGCATACGCACACAGATGCCCAGGTTTCATCCCGTACTTCTTCGAAAGCATATATTACCTCCACAATCCACACCAGAAGATCAGTTACAGGTGCGACATCTTTTGTCCGATGATAATTTACAGTAGCATGCTCATACAGTTTTCCTTTTCGCGTCTTAAGCTACAGTCTCGCTAAAAATTACGTCTATACACGATTTGCATCTTCACTCACAAATCTTGCCCACACACACTGCCGCATCAATATGATCGTACAATATGTCCGGCGAAGCATTTCGCATGCAGTGCCCCGTAACACTGTGCAATGTATTTTTTAAGTTAAACAACATATGTTACAATGCGGGAAATCGAACAATACAAATTCAAGGATGAAAACAGACTGACACCATCGGAGATCCTACTTCTCTTCCTGCTGTCCCCCCGCTGGTGAATTGGTTGGTCACAGGAAACGGATTGTTGAGGTCCTGCCGGCCCATTCCCTCTGCCTTGGCCACAAGGTCGTGCTTTGGTGGCTCTTTAGCGCCCTCAGTGATATTGAAAATGTAATTGTGGCGGCTGTGGAGGCTGTTGCAT